TTGGGGCCTCGTGGCAGTGCATCTTTCCATGTTCTAGCGGAAGATTCACTCTCGTTTTGCACATTTGGAGAGTAGTGGATCCCCCCTGGCTCCACTACTCTCGAAATGTGCAAAACGAGAGTGAGTCTTCCGCTAGGAACATGGAAAGATACAGCGCCCTGATTTTTGGCTTTTGTGCATGTCAACAATAGTGGAGCAAGGCCCTCCTCTTTTTTTTTTTTTTTTTTTTTTTTTTTTTTTTTTTTTTTTTTTTTAAAATATTGGGGGGGGGGGGCCCTCCTTTTTTTTTTTTTTTTTTTTTTTTTTTTTTTTTTTTTTTTTGTTCTTGTTGTTCAATCTAAGCCCCGTCACGTGGCTGGCCAAGGCCCCATTTCGTCAAAATGGACATTTTTTATTTTTTGAACGAAATTGAAACTGAGTCTTTTGGCCGAAAACTCGTCAAATTTTGTTGTTCCTGAGGAACCCCTGGCTGTACATGGACCTAACTTGAGACCAGGCACCTCCAGGCAGGACTGCCTGGAGGTACCTGGTCTCAAGCTAGGTCCATGTACAGCCAGGGGGTCCAACGTTTTACAAACGTTGGACCCTCAGGAACAACAAATTTTGACGAGTTTTCGGCCAAAAAACTTGGGTTTCAATTTCGTTCAAAAAATAAAAGATGTTCATTTTGACGAAATGGCAGTTGCAATGCCTCGGCCACATCCGAGGTAAAAAAAACAAAACAAAAAAAAGAACAGAGAGAGAGCATCTCGTCGCGTGGCTGGGCCACGGCCGCGATGCCTCGGCGACGGCTGAGATGAACAAACAAAAATAATAATAATAATAATAGTAAAAAAAAAAAAAAAAAAAAAAAAAAAAAAAAAAAAAAAAAAAACCCAAAAAAATAAACAAAAAATGCCACATGCCGGACTGGACTGCAGTTGCAAACTCGGCCTCACGACTTTTGTGCATGTCAAGAGTTTCAACTGTAGTTGAAACTTGGGACGGTACTGGACTGCAAACAGGTAGTTCCAAATGCATTTACAAACTGCTTTGGTGACTGCACCCTAGTTACCCCCCAAAAAAAGCACTACGAGCAACATCAGGAAAACATCAGTTAGAGAGAATCTATATCATACAAGAAATACTATCGAAATACTCTCAAAAGAAGTAGTCAGCAAAACATGTTGATCATCAGGCGAAAACAAATGCAAGATCATACCCAATCAATCGGGAAATCAGAAAATCCTGAAAATAGCGCAGAAACCTACGAGAACCCCACACACGACCCTCCCTTCCCCAACCTCACCTCCACACGTCACCGACCTTGAGGCGTCTCGGCCGTCATTCGACCACTCCAGTCAGTCAAAGCCGAAAGGTGACAACAACGGACCGCAGCACGTTTACCAAAACTATCCACGCTACGTTGCGGAACCAGACTGCTGAACCCGCCAACAGCTCCCCGCAGGCAGTCCCAGAAGAGGAGAACTCGTGATCTTATTGCACCTTCTCTTAGAGATAAGCAGCAGCAGCAGATTACATCTTCATACGCCAGGAAGCTGGGAAACAACTCGCCAAACCAAACCCCAACAGACACTTTCCACTGTCCCCAATACCTCAGCAGAAGTTCACCCTACCCACACTTGATCCATCGCTGTCGCTTTCACCCCTCACACACCTTCTTCCTCCCCATCATCAGCTTCCCCCACCGCTTCACTCCATGACTCGACACCTTCGCGTCACCACCATCGTGTATCGGCTCCGCCACTCGTCACAATCGGCCCATCGTGCTGACCCGGTTTTGCGCCTTGGAAATGTTGGGGCGCAGCGCTCCCGGTGGCGTTGCGCCCCTGGTGTTGGCCACTCCAAGTTCTCTCCACGTCCTGCAGTGGGTTGTCATTTTCCTCATCCTCTAAACCACAAGATTTTGGCATATCATGGTGCCAGAAGGGGGTATCACAGATTCGACACCTGTGGCTCTCCCCTCTCAAACGCTGGGTTACGACACCCGAACTTAGACAGAAACTCGGAAATTTGAGCAACATTGACACCCATCTGTCAAATATTGTAGCAGCCATCCTAGTACCGTCCTGGAAGGATAACCTGCTAAAATTAATGATTCAGAAGTGTTGCAAATTGGTTCATGGGTTACCACTACGGAAGATCCTACAAGGACATTAATGAGAATCATGGAATTGCTAGACGAAGATAACACCTTATGTGAGGTTTGGTCCGTCTCCAATGGCACACTATCTAAGCACTCCACTCCACAAGTCGCCCTTTCCAACTCCTCTCTGTTACAGGTCATAGTACAGTCCACAGAGAGGCAGGTGAAGTGTAAAACTGTCCAATCGCACACACTTCTACTGGAGGGTAAGCCCCTGTTAGAATGCAGAATAGACCCACTGGCAGTGCACTCTCTTGGGGTTGGGTACTCCCATCCTCCAAGGAGGAGAAGTGTGCATTGTTTGAATATCGTACCTCAATAGGATAGTATAGCCTGGGTTCTGACAGCAACAAACTTGTCATTTCTAATCTGCAAGCTAGACAGGACTTCTCTGCATCATATGATCTACCAAATACTAGCTTCTTAACCTGCTCGTAAATTGGTAAGCACCTAAAAGCCTACCCTGTAGTTAAGCACGCCAGCCTAATGTGGCTGGACTTTATGCTCAACGTCCCAACCAGCAAATGCGGTTCAACTTCCCTGCCTGCTTACGCTACGGCGCTTGCCATGCCATTTGCGCAGCACTAAGAGGCGGCAAAAGTTGCTTTGCAGCATCAGCATGTTCTGCGACTCCTGCTATCCACTAGCTATTGAAGATATGCCCCATCTATGGTGGGTGTGTCCTTTGATCACTCCATTCTGGGGTTGGTGGCGGATGATATGGGCAACCGCCTACCCGATAGATTCTCCCTCTCAAGTCTGGAGCAAGGAGACTGTCCTGACTGGCTCTTTCAAGGGTACGACTCAGGCAATCCGGCCTGTAGAAGTGTCAAGAGCTTTGTCTCTCTGGCTTATATGGAGGAAACGTAACGCTCTCTGCTTTCAAGGAAGGGAGAGCAAAATGTCATCACTCAAATGCCTAATGTGCGCAGAACTCAAGCATATAATGCATGCTGATTGGCAGCGCATCAACAGATCGTTCTTTTTTTTTTTTTTTCGCATCAACAGATCAAGGAGGACAGACAACCAAAAGACCACTTCTTTTCGGAAACTCTGGGGTTCCCCGTTTTGTTGGGCAATTCCTTCGGTCAAAGGGGAACTGATTTTCAATGTCCTGTTATCTTCAGATAGTAAATCTTGGTGTCTAATACTAAATTGATATTGCATTATCACTGGTGATGTCTACTGCCCTCTACTGTTCTTCATTTATTTGCTGATGTTTTCTTTCAGCACCGGAGCACCTTCTTTTTTTTTTTTTTTTTTTTTTTTGGTTTAAAACAGGTCCTTATGGTCCTGGCTCCATGTCCATTCTGGGGAGCATCAGTCCGGTTCCTATTCCCCCGGCAAGTCAATAATGAATACATCATAGGACACACTCACGCTTCCTTCCTTAATACTAGGGGATTGACAAATCGTACTAGGTTAGATACGGTTCTGGTTTTCTGAGTTCTTCCAGTTTTTCTTAGTTGGACAATCTCAGAGCCAATGGACAAATGTAACAGACAAAGCTTTAAGAACTTCTCAGACATGTCCCTCCAACCTGGGTCCTCTGTTGCAGTACGTTCCTTTGGATTCAAGAATTTTAGAGCCACTACTAGTAGGAGGTAGATGGAGCCTCTCCCCCGGTGCTAGTGGTATTGGCTGTTACCAGTACCACTAGCACCGAAGGGGGTGTTAAAAAAAAATAAAAATAAAAAAATAAAAAAGGAGGTGGTGGGGAGTTCTTTGCTCCCTCGGTCTATTGTTATACCGGGATCAGGCCATGTACAGCCAAGCTAGGTCTCAAGCCAGGTCCATGTACAGCCAGGGGGTCCAGCGTTTTACAAATGCCGGACCCTCAGGAACAACAAATTTTGACGAGTTTTCGGCCAAAAAACTGGGTTTCAATTTCGTTCAAAAAATAAAAGATGTCCATTTTGACGAAATGGCAGAATTTTCTCTAGGCCTGTGAAATGAACACTAAGGTCTCTTCCCTCGAAACTCTTTCCTTGGTTACCCCCTCTTCTTCACAGTTGTTACTGACAATATTACACAGACTTTCAAACTGATCTTCTTTCTCCGTGGGTTCTGTGACGATGGAACCTTTTCCATCACTCGGTCACCTCAGATGGAACACTGGACCCGGTTTTCAGCAGCACAATACCTCAGTTGGGACTGGACCTGGTTTTGCTCCAACAGGCTACCCCAGTTGGGACGCTGGACCTGGTTTTCAGCAGCACGGTACCTCAGTTGGGGCGCTGGACCCGGTTTGAAATTCCAGCAGCAGGTCATCTCAGATGGGACAATGGACCCGGTTTCCAGCAGTAAGGTACCTCAGATGGGAAGCTGGTCCCGATTTTTTTTTCAGCAACAGATTACAAATGGACCATTTTAGTTCATTGCAGGTGTGTGTGGACTTAGTTTGAAGTCCAGATGCGTCCAAGAAGGTCTGGCATTTTCAGACCATGACATTCTCAGGCAGGCCGAAGCCCAAATGGCGCGGCGCGTATACGGGAAGCGCCGTGGCCGATAGCTGGGCCAGGTACTGGTGGTTTAAAAGGTTTGGCTTGTGAAATTTAAAGCAACAGATGGCCATTGGGACCGTGGCCCCCCTTCCCTGCAGGTGCACCTTCCCAACAATAGAAACCAGCTGTGCGCCTACCTTCTTCACCCGAATATAGCGCCCGGTCATTATTGCTGTATTTAGCACAACTTTCAGCCCAGATACGACGATAATTACCGGGCGTTCTATTCAGGTGAAGACGGTAGTGGTGCTATTATCGGGGGACCCGGTGCTCTTATCACTCGGAACACGACGCTGGGCGATGTGTTTTCAAAATTTTAAGACCAAAAGAAAAAACAGCTGGCTTAGTACCTGAACACCTGGTCTACCAGTGGAACCACCAATTCCTCCATCAACGACCAGAAATCGCGATGATGTGAGAGCTGCAAGGCCAAGTCGTCGCCTTTTGGATACCATCATGCCACTCGGTGTGCCCGTCTCCAAAAGCCCGCTGCCTCCATCGCTGAACACTTGCCCATGTCCGAAGAAAATTCCAAAACCCTAAAAAAGGGGATAGTTTGCCAAAACAAGTGCGAGAGAAAACCATATGTCTAATAAGTTGCAAAGTTTCAGTACAGTTTATAAATTGTTAACTAGGGGTAATTATGCGGGAGTCACAAAAAGGAGTTATAATTATTGCAGTATGGGGCAAGAAACCGTTTGCAATTGCACTTGGGGCACCCAACCTGGCCGGAAAGCTGGGTTGTATACATTGCCCGAACTGCAATTCGAAACAGTACCTTGGCCCATCGTGCAGTTATAACTCTTTTTTTTTGTGACTCCTGGGTAGTTTCCCCTATTAACGAATATAAAGTATATCGTAGAGTACTCAATTCCGATGATGATCAAGCTCATAAAAAAAGAGTCATAATGGAAATCTACTAATATAATATTTAAAAATATTATATATATATATATTAAAACAAATAATAATAATAAAAAATCTAATAATATTTATATGCCGGATTGACAATGTTATTGAATCGTAAACGATAATAGAATATCATGTGATCCTGCATGATGGTTTCAGTTAATAATTTCTCTACCAAAAAAATGTCTCATTGAGTATGGCAGCCATTTCATTAAAAAGGTCAATTTATATTTTTATTTTTTTTTGAACTAAATTGACACCTACTTCTGCGGCCCTGAAAATCTCCATTCGCTCCGTTTATCTCCTGGAGGGAGATCCGACTACCTACGTATGTGGATTAGTGGAGAGGGTGTGTGACTCCGAAGAACCGCTGATCTGAACGGTGATCGGCAGTGTGGTGTTTCTTAAATTTGAGGGGGGGGGCATATTTGTATTTTTGCGGCCCCCCATTGGCTGGTCTTTCTTTTTATTTTGTTGAGTAGGCCGTGCAGAGGTCCCCAACGTGAGTGAAAATCATAACGATTTTTTTCGTTATGATTTTCACACACCTTCCACACACCTTCGGTTTGTGGCCCATGCATGGAAGAGAGGCCAAAATYGACAATGTGGGAGGTGTTTTGGGAGGATTCGATCCCCTCACCTACATCAAATATGGCATAGAGTTAGTCTGACATCTGTCAGAGCGTGCTCTGTGGCCCATTTCAAGGAAGGCTCAGACTATTGTAAACGAATATGGTCCTCTTGGACGCTCACATGCAGTCATCTTGACTGCCACATCCATGGTCAATGAATCATACCCTGACATCTGACACGCTG